AATTCGACCGTAAGTCTGGAGTAATCAATTATGTCATCAGTTGTGGACGGAGATATTTACAATTCCCAGCACCGTACTCAGTAATTCCATCGGACGAACCCTGTAGACGTTGGAACAGCCTGTACAGTGATAATTTAGTTTCTATAGCAATTCTAGAATGACAAGAGACAGAAATATTACCGCTCGAGACAATAACAACTGACAACTCAACAGGAAGGGGAATCATGGACAAAATACTGCTGCTGCTGTTTTAATGCGTTCAGCGATGATTTAAGCTCCACATTAGCTTTATAATAATCAATGTATTCATCAGATGTATCCCGAGATGTTTGCAATTCCCAGTACGGTAGTTGCAACATTCAACGATAGAGCAATGTAGTTAGTGGATGATTCTGTACAATGATGACATAAGTTCCACAGTGGTTCTAGAGTAACCAATGCATACATAAGATATGGCTACAGAAATGAACAATTCACTATACGGCAGCTAGTACATCCACCAACAACGTACTCCAGCCGCAGGATATCCCTGTTTACCGGAGATTTAGATTCCATGGCAGTTCCAGAATGACAAGAGCCAGATCCGTTATAGCTCGAGACATCAACGATTGAGGACACAGTACTCAGTACAGCCGTCATCACAGAATAGAAGCCGTTGGACTAAAAACCCCACTGGTAAATTATACGTAGCCACAATTCTAGAATAATCAATATATTGTACGGTTACGGCTCGAAATATTTAAAATTGACAGCACGGTACGCAGTGCATCCATCAGCAAAGCACTGTAGCCGTTGTATTGATCTGTACAGTGATGATTTAGATTATGAAGCAACTGTAGAATTACAGAAGTCAGGTCCGTTATATCTCGAGATATTAACAATCGACATAAGAGTACAGAGTTCAGCCATCAGCACATTACTGCAGCCGTTGTATTAATCCGTCCACTGATGATTTATGGTACAAGGCAGATCTAAAACCGGCTATGCATACATCAGAGATGGCTGCAGATATTTACAATTCTCCAGTTCAGTGGCTGATACGTCCGCCGATAAAGTACAGTAGACGTTGGATTGTTCTGATCATTGATGGCTTAAATACAAGAGAATGTTTATGATTGCCGATGTGTAGCACGGTCATGCCTACGGATATATGCAGTTGACATTACGGTTCCTTGTACATCTGTCAGCAGAGCACTGTAGCCTTTGGATTGTTCTGATCAATGTTGGCCCGTATTCCGCTACAGTTCTAGATCCAGAAAGCACAGATCCGTTATACCTCGCTTATGACTTAAGTTCCACAGATTGTATATAATAATCAATGTGTACATCAGTAATCGACAGTGATACCTCTAGTTCCCAGTACGGCACGTAGTAAGTCAATCAGCGGAGCACTGTAGCCTTTGGAAAAACCTGTACAGTGACGATTAAGATTCTGTAGCAATTATAGAATAACAAAGGACAGATCCGTCATAGCTAAAGTTAATTGCAATTGACGCAACTGTACTGAAATCAGCCATCATCACAGTACTTTAGCCGTTGGACTAATTTGTCAACTGATATTTGTATCTAACCGCAACTCCCGAATAATCAATGTATAGTACGGTTAGGGCTGGAGAAATTTACAATTGACAGCACGGTACTCAGTATATCCATCAACAGAGCACTGTAAACGTTGGATTCGCAATTTCGACGACGATTTAGATTTTACAGCAATTTTAGGATGACAAAGGCGGATCCGTTGTAGCTAGAGTAATTAACAATTGACGAAAGGGTGCTTACCACAGCCATCATCAGTGTTCTTTGGCCGTTGGACTAATTTCTTCACTGATAATATGAATTGAGCATCAATTCTAGAATAACCAATATATGGTTATGTTACGGCTAGAGACATTTTCAATTGACAGTACTGTACCGAGAACATCCTTCAACAGTGCCATGGAACCATTGGATTAACCTGTGAAGTGATGACTTAAATTATATAGCAATTCTAGAATAATAAGAGACATATCAGTCACAGCTCGAGATATTAACAATTGACATAACAGTTCCGAGTACTGCCATCATCACAGTACTGAAGATGTTGTATTAATCTGCTCACTGATGATTTAGTTTCCGCAGTAGTACTGGGATAGTCAATGTATACATCAGTTATGGATACAGTTATTTACAATTCACAGGACGGTACTTGGTATATCCACCAGTAGAGCACTGGTGTCGTTGGAGTAATCTGTTCGGTGATGCTTTAAGTCCTACATTAAAACTATAATGACAAGGAACTGTACTATAACCGCGCGAGACCCGATCAATTGGCGAAACTATGTTGAGTACAGCAATTATTGCGTTACTTTAGCCGTTGCATTAATGTGTACACTGATTACTTCAGTTTGACGGGAATTCTAGAGGAGTTAATGTACAGTACGGATGTGGCTAGATATTTTTGCAATTTACAGCACGTTTCTTCGTACATCCATCAACAGAGCGCTGTAGAATTGGATTACTCTGTGCATTGATGACTTTCACTCCACAGTAGTTTTAGGATAAACAATGCATAGATATGTTATGGCTAGATATATGTACAAATGAAAGTTCGAATCTTAGTACATCCATTAACAGAGCACTGTAGCCGTTGGATTAATCTGTTCAGTACGTTTATGAGAGCAGACGTTTACAATTGATAGTTCGGTACTTACTACATCCATCAACAGAGCACTGTAGCCGTCAAATAAGGCTGTTCAATGATGATGTAGATTCTATAGCAATTCCATTATGACAAAAGGAAGATCCGTTATAGCACGGGGTATTAGCAATTGATAATACTGCGCAGTGTACACCCATCACAACCTTCTGCAGCCGTTTTATTAATCTATTCACTTATGATTTAAATTCCACAGTATCTCTAGGATAATCAGTGCATGCATCAGTTATGGCTAGAGATATTCTGCAAATCCCAGTGCCGTAGTTACTTTAAACGCCTATAGGGCGCTGTAGCCACTGGATTAATATGTGGAGTGATGATTTAAAATCTATTGCAATTCTATACTGACAAGGGACTCCGCCATTATCGCTCGAGAACTTAACAAATGACGATGAAGTACTGAGTTCTGATATCACCGTAGTGCCTTAGCCGTTGGACTAATTTTTCACTGATAGCTTAATTTTAACCTCAATTCTATACTAATCAATATATAGTACGCATATTACGTACTATATTTTGAATATTCTAGAATTCCGGCTATGTTTACATTGTCAGTGAAGAAGATAGTCCAACGGCTATTGTACTGTGGTGATGCCTCTGCTCAGTACTCTTATGACAATTGTTAATATCCCGAGCTGTAACGGATCTGTGTTTTTTTATTCCAGAATTGCTATAGAACATATATCATCATAGAAAACTTCCGTCCAACGAATACTGTGCTCTGTTGATGGATGAGATAAGGGCACCTCTGTCCACTGTAAAGACATCTAGCCACAACCGTGCTATAAATGGGTTATCCAAAACCTGCATTGGAATTTTATCCATCTCAGAAGAGATTAGTACGACGACCACAGTGCTCTATCCGTGGATCCAGCAAGTACCGTATAGGGAAATGAAAATATCTCCAGCAATTTCTGATTTATACGTTAATCAATCCAGAACTACAGTGTAACGTATGTCAGAAGTGTACAAATTAACCCAACGGCTACAATAACGTGATGTCGATTGTACTCAGTACTGTGTTGTCAGTTGCTAATATCTCAATCGATATTAGATTAGTCTATTGTCATTCTAGAATTGCAACAGAATCTATAACATTTCTGAACAGATTAATCCACCGGCTACATTATTGCATTGGTGAATGTACCAGTCACCGTACCGGGAACTGTAAAAATCTCTAGCCATGGCGGTTCCATGTAGTGATTATTTCAGAATTGCTGTTAAACCTAAACTCTCAGGGAACGGTTTAGTCCAACGGCTGGAGTAATGTGATGATGCCTGTACTCATTACTGTTTCGTCAATGGTTAATATCTCGAGCAACATCGCGTCAGCTCTTTCTCATTCTAGAATTGTATTGGAATTTAGATCATCATTAAATAGGTGAATACAGCAGCATCCGTGCACTGTAAATGAACATACTAGGAACCGTACTGTCAATAGGAAATATTTGTAGCCATAACGGTCCTATAAATTTCTTATTCCAGAATTGCTTTGGAATTTACATCGTCAGCGAACAAATTTATAACATACTCCACCACACTGAACTCTTCGTGCCCTCGCATCCCTGTTTGTACCATATACTCCGTACTCCTTCATGCACATGCTCTCCTTCCCAATCACCCTTCACCACGCACCCTTTGTTGCCTCGCACTCAGTGGGTCGCGTACCCTAAACACTCGGATGCATTCCAGGAGACACTCTTCGCTAGAAACCGATATATTCATAAACGCCCCGCTCACACGATCCATGCGTACTGTCACTCACCCTTCCGCCCACACTCCAGATAATACCTCGGACGCTCGAGTCAAACCTGAGACTTCCGTCCGTTGCCATTTATATACGAAGAAGGATCCAAGCGTTCCCTCGCGCTTTACGGACACACCTCGGAATAGATAATGGAAATACCATTCCTACACCCAGCCGCTCTTGCAAATGATATCTGACCTCATATATCGCGATTCGTCACTCGTACAATCACTCCAGCAGTCGAGGACGCTCATACACGCTCCATGTATAGGACAATTTCATCTGGTTTTCTGCCGTACTTCAAGAAAGAAGGCATTGTCCAATTTTCCTGCCAAGCTGACACTGTCGTAGACGCCCGACTTGGTCGGAGACGGCCACGGTCGAAGACCCTACTGCACCTCTGGCCGTCGTTGTACCGGCATCCCCTCAGGGTGCTGATACCTCTTCCAGTGCGTCTCCTCCTCGTCTTCACCCTCGTCCTCGTCCCTTTCTTTGTCCTTATGTTCGTCTTCGCTGTGGCGCATTCCCGTCGTCCGCATCATCGCCCTCCTCAGAATTTTAGCCCTTGCCCCCAGCCGCGCTTCCTTCGTCCTTGGCCTCGTCCTTGCCCTCGTGATATTCTCTCTCGCCTTCGTTCTCGTTTTCGTTCTCGTTCTCGCTCTTGCCTTCATCCTCGTCTTCATTATCGTCTCCGTTCTCGTTTTCATTCTTGTCTTCGCTCTCGTCTTCGTCCTCGTCTTTGTTCTCGTCCTCACTTTCCTCTTCATTCTGGTCTAAGTTCTCGTCTTCGCTCTCGCCATCATTCTCGTCTTCATTCTCGTGTTCATTCTGGTCTTCATTCTCTTCTTCACTTTCGTCTTCGTTCTTGCCTTCGTCTACGTCTTCGTTCCCGAAACCATTTTCGTCTACATACTCGTCCTCGTCCTCGTCTTCGTTCTCGTCTTCATCGTCGTTCGCACCATCGGTCTTTCTATTGACCACATTGTTGCTCTTCCCGTCGCTCGCGTCATCGTTCCTTTCGTCATCGCTTGTTGTGCCGGAAGCACAACCTGTATCCCCTCGTTGTCGCTTGCTTGCAGCAGCCCGCACAATCCTGCCTTCTTATTCTGGACAGCGTCGGTCTCCTCGTTCACTGCATTACTGGAACCCAAATATTTCTCACCTTTCTCGGTTTCCACGTCATATAGTTCTTTCCCTTCGCTCGCCCTCGCGCGCTCGCGAACTGCGTGGACACTCGGGCCAGAGCCATCTCCATGATGATGGTCGGCATGATCCTCTCTCCTTTTATTGGGTACGGGTTCCCCTCCTGGTCGTTCAGTCAGGCCCACAGAATACACGTCGTTTTCCAGTCCCGAACCCTACCGTAACAATTTCCTTCCATTAGGGGACGAAGGACCAGTCCATGTGGTTTGCGTAGAACTCAGTTGTTCCCCGTCACTTCACGCCCCGTACGCTAACGGCCAGATGCCGGGATACACGGACACTCCGCTGCCAATGGACAACGCTGTTGCGCTCGGCAGAGGATGATCACTGCTAGTCGGGGTGCTCGGTTCCCTCTGGTTGTACAGGCACCCCGGTGTTTCTGGATCAGTACCAGATCGCTACTCGCAGCAGTCGCTCTCTGTTCCACCTTGAACCACGGTCGACGCCCTGCTGCTTCCCATAAGGACCCTCCTGTGCACGGGTCGCACCACATCCGCGCTTGGTCTTGTGCCCGAATCCATTGAGCCTACCTGACCTCCCTCGTACACGCACTTCCGTCTGCTGTCGTCATCCTCGCCTTCATCCTCACATTCGTGCTCATGCTTGTCCACACCTACGTGCATATTTTCGTGCTCACACTCGTGCTCATCTTCATCCACATCTGCATTCATATCTACGACTGCATCTTCGTCTCCAACTTCGTCCACAAGTCCGCCTACAAGTCCATCTGCATCTTCGTTTCCAGCTTAGCCTCAAGCTATGTATCCAGCTTCGTCTCCGGCTTCGTCTTCAGCTACGAGTCCATCTTCATCTCCATCTTCGTCTCCAGGTCCGCCTCCATCATCGTTCCCAGCCATGTCTCCAGCTTTGTCTCCAGCTTGGTCTACATCTTCGTCTCCATCTTTGTCTCCAACATCGTCTTTGCTATGTGCTGTTACAAACGCACGTGCTACTTCTGACATAAGCTTGCTCCTAAATTCTTGCCACGATACACCCATGCCTGCATATTGATTGAAAATTTCTGCGGTTCATCGAAGTAGCCTTCTAGCGTAACAGGCCCTTTGCTTATCGCAACATTTGCAATCCTCCGTAATTTCATCGAAGTCACAAAGTCTCTCAATTTCATCTTCTGCCCCTTCGCCGTAAAATGTATATATGCTTTCTTCCATTTCCCCTAATGTTGGGATATAGCTCGTAAGTCTTCTTCCTCGTGACATGTCCCTTTCCGCGGGGGGGGGGGCCTGTGCGTGTTCGTACACGGGCTGGCACGGTTGACGACGGAACCTTCCCCGTAGCTCCCCGTTTAGACCATCGTCATGGCGATGAGGTCGGGCTCGATTCATACCACTCCCGTGCTCTACCAAAAAGACGAGGCACGATTAAGTACTTGTACGACTCCGGCGGCAGCGTGCATGTGCTTTGGGGAGAACGCGCCAGAATCTACCGACAGTTGTTCTGATTTCTCGTTCCATCGAAATGGTCCAAATTATTGGCGACTGTCGTAATTCTAACATTCATCGCTCCTGTTTCTTCGCTGCTGAACGGTAATGAGCACGCTGGTACAATTGATGCTCCTTTCTTCGGCACTGCAGCTACTAACGCCTTCGTTAGAGCTTCTAGGATCGTCTTCTGAAAATCTTTCGCTTCTCAGGAACACGGATTACGGCTCCTCGCAATCTCCCCTATCTCACGGTTGTCCATGGTGTGCTGGCTGTTTATTGCTTCCAATAACATTGTTGCCAGTTATTTCTTCTTTCCACCGCTTTACTCCATAGAATTCCTACTTGCAGCCTTTATCCCGCCTGAGCCACCAATTTATGTAGGAATTTAATTTATTAAGGCAGCAAGAGTTCGATGGTGCAGAATAGAACTAATTTATTGATAACGAACTTATTCTAGGCTTACGATCATTACACACACCACCTCTCAAAGAACTTCTCGAAGAACTGCCCGAAATATGTGCTCAAATATGCCACAACATAACACAGCATACTGCAACATAATCTAACGTACTGCACCATACTCCACCAAACTGCACCCTTTGCCACCTCGCATCCCTATTTAAACCCCACACTCCATCCTCCTTCATGCCCGTGCTATCTTTCCCATTCACGGTTTCCCAAACACTCTTCGATGCCTTTCACTCAGTGGGCCGCGTACTCTAAACACTCAAATGCATTCCTGGAGACACTCTTCACTCGTAACCTTTACATTCATAAACGTCCCGTTCACACGATCCTTGAGGAGGGTCACTCATCCTGCCGCACACACTTCAGATAATACCCCGGACGCTCGAGTCAAACTCGAGAAGCCAGTTTATTGCCATTTATTTACGGAGAAGTGCCCATGCATTCCCTCGCAATTATAGACGTGCCCAGGAATAGATAAAGGAATACCATTCCTACAATGTATCTCTCCTTTGCCATTCTAGTACTTACATTTGACACAAATCATCGGTGAACAGGTAAATGAAATGTTTACCGTGCTCAATTGGTGGATATACTAAGCACCTTGTTGTCAGCTGTAAATATCACTAAACATAACCGCCCTGTGCATTGATCAATCTAGAATTGCGGTGCAACATTCATCTTCAGTGAACAAATTAACACGATGGCAACAGTGCTCTGTTGGTGGATGTATGTAACGTACGTTGTGTTGCCGAAATTTCTGGGCATAACTGATATATCTATTGATTATTCTAAAATTACTGAGGAAGCTAGGTCATCAGTGAACAAGTTAAAACGACAGACACATTATTTCGAAGAAGGCTATACTCATTGTCGTCTTGTCAATTGTTATTACCACATGGGATGATGCATCTCCCTTTTGTAACCCTTGAATAGCTATAGAACATGTATCTTCAGTGACCTCATTATTCAAACGTGTACAGAGCAATGTAGGTGGGTATACTCTGTATTGTATTTACATACATCAAAGTCGCCACCGATAATTTCTTTATGCATTGAATATTCTACAACTGCTGAAGAATTTAGTTGATCATCGAACAGATTAGTTCAATGCTTAAAATTTTGTGTAAATGGCTACACTGAGTACGGTATTGTCAACTGACTATGCCACCACAGATGAATGATCCATGCTTTGATCACTTCATAGTTGCTGCACAGTTTGAAACATCAGTGAACCTACTAGTCCAACGCCTATTGTGCTCTGTTGGTGGACATACTAAGTACCGTACTGTCAATTGCAAATATTATTGGCCATAAATAACACACACAATGTCCATTCTACTATTGCCGTGGAACAGTAATCCTCTGGGAATATATTAGTGCAACGGCTATAATCACGAACTTTGACAGATACGTCTTATGTTACTCTCGAATTGCCATAATATCTATATCATGATTGAAAAGTTTAGTTCAACGACTACAGTGCCCTGTTGATGGATGCACAAAATGTCGTACTGTCAAATCTAAATATCTGCAGCCATAACCGTACTATACATTTGCTGTTCTAAAATTGCTGTTAATCTTATGTTTTCAGTGAGCAAATTAGTCCAATGGCTAAAGTACAGCTATGATGACTGCTCTGAGTACAATATCGTCAATTTTTAATGTCTGGGGCCATAATGGGTCTGTACATTGTTATTATATATTGCGCTAAAATGTGAACAATCACTGGCCGGGTTAGTCGTATGGCTACCGTGCTGTATTTGTGGACGTACCAAATACCGTGCTGGGAATGGCAAAAGTCTCTAGCTATAACTGATGTATACAAGGAATATTCTGGAACTACTGCGCAATCTAAGTCGTCAATGCACAAATTAATCCAGCGACTATAGTATTATCACGATTTCTGGTTTCAGTACTATTATGTCAGTGATTATTATCTCGAGCTGTGACGCGTCTGTCTCTTGCCATTCTAGAGTTGCTACGGAATATATATCATCATTGAACAGATCAATCGTATGACTACAGTGCTCTGTTGATAGACGTACTATGAACCGTGCTGCCAACTGTAAGTATCCCTGGACATGACCGTGTTATACACCGACTACACTAAACTTGCTTTTGTATTTAAACTGTCACTGATCAGATAAACACATCATCTACATTATTTTATCAACGGATGTATCAACTACCGTAACGTGAATTATAAATATCAGCAGTCGTGTCTGGTGCATACATTGAGCACTCTAGAGCTGCTGTGGAATATAAATCATCGGCGTACGGATAAATCCATCATCTCCAGCAATGTAATGATGGCTGTACTCAGTACTGCTATGTCGATTGTTAATACCTTGAGCTACAACGGATATTCTTTCTGTCATTCTACAATTGCCAAAGAATACTTCGCATCACAGTACAGGCTTAGTCAACGTCTACAATGCTGTGCCGATGTATTCCATAAGAGCCATACAGTCAGTTGGGAATATTACTAGCCATACCCGCCCTATACATTGATTACTCTAGTCTTGCCTTGGAACCAATTTCATCGCCGTAAAAATCTTTCCATCGGGTGCAGTGCTCAATTGGGGGTTGCATCAACTACGGTAACGGATATTCCAAATGTCTCTAGACGTAACTGACGTATACATTGATTAATCTAGAACTACTGTGCAATGTAGGTTATCAGTGACCTAATTAACCCAATTGCTACAGTATTGTGAGGATGACTGAGCTTAGTGCTGTGTTGTCAGTTATTAATACCTCGAGCGGCAATGTGTCTGTCTCTTAGCACTCTGGGATTGCCATTGTATCCAAGTAAGCATTGCATAGGATAACACAATGGCTACGTTGCCCTGTTGATAGATTTACTATGAGCTGCACTGTCAATTTCAGATATCTGCAGGCATACGTGTACTATATATGGATTACTCTAGATTTGCTTTTGAATTTACGCTACCAGTGAATAAATTAGTCCAACGGCTAGAGTACTGTGATGATGGTTGTACTCTGTACTCTTTCGTCACTTGTTAATTTCCAGAGCGATAACGAGTCAGCCCCTTGTCATTCTAGAATAAAGTGGAAAATGAATCATCAGCGAACAGGTTAATCCAACCCCTGCATCGCTGTGCTTATGATTGCACTTAGTAATGTTATCTTGGTTAGTAATTTCTCGAGGCGTAACGTGTATCTCTTTTGTCATTCTAGAATGGCTATAGAAACTATATCATCATTGACCTGGTTAATCCAACGGCTAGTGTGCCCTGTAGTCGGATGTACTAGGAGTGGGCACAGCCATTGGCAAATATCACCATGCATAACGGTACTATACCTTTGCTCGTAGTGCATGGAATGAAGGAAAAATTTATTTAAACGCATAATAACAGAGCACAAATTATAATTTTATTGGTAAAAATGGACTCGCTCCTCTCTACGATATAATCCATACACGACATACTTACTCAGAGCGTCTTTTTCTGTCGACTGTCCTAGAAGCACAAAAAGTTTTTCACGACCCCTGGCCATACTCGTCACACACATATGCCATTTAACACGAACATTCCTCACACATATACCAATCATACTGTGACAACTACCTCCAAAATAATGACCTGAATTCATTACACGTTAGAAAACCACGCATAACTGCTTCACACACCAGCACACATTTTAACAGAAATCAAAGTAACCACTACCACAGCACTGACTGCTCTAGAATTGCTCTGGAATTTGCGTCACTCGTGAAAAGTTATTCCAACGGCTATAGT